ACAAATATAAATATTCTTTGGAGTTCCAACAAATATAAAGATGCTTTGGAGTTCCAACAAATATGAATATGCTTTGGAGTTCCAACAAATATAAATATGCTTTGGAGTTCCAACAAATATAAATATTCTTTGGAGTTCCAACAAATATAAATATGCTTTGGAGTTCCAACAAATTTAGATATGCTTTGGAGTTCCAACAAATATAAATATTCTTTGGAGTTCCAACAAATATAAATATGCTTTGGAGTTCCAACAAATATAAATATGCTTTGGAGTTCCAACAAATATAAATATTCTTTGGAGTTCCAACAAATATAAATATGCTTTGGAGTTCCAACAAATATAAATATGCTTTGGAGTTCCAACAAATATAAATATTCTTTGGAGTTCCAACAAATATAAATATGCTTTAGAGTTCCAACAAATATAAATATGCTTTGGAGTTCCAACAAATATAAATATTCTTTGGAGTTCCAACAAATATAGATATTCTTTGGAGTTCCAACAAATATAAATATGCTTTGGAGTTCCAACAAATATAAATATGCTTTGGAGTTCCAACAAATATAAATATTCTTTGGAGTTCCAACAAATATAAATATGCTTTGGAGTTCCAACAAATATAGATATGCTTTGGAGTTCCAACAAATATAAATATTCATTGGAGTTCCAACAAATATGAATATGCTTTAGAGTTCCAACAAATATAAATATGCTTTAGAGTTCCAAAAAATATAAAGATGCTGTGGAGTTCCAACAAATATAAATATACTTTGGAGTTCCAACAAATATAAATATACTTTGGAGTTCCAACAAATATAAATATTCTTTGGAGTTCCAACAAATATAAATATGCTTTGGAGTTCCAACAAATATAAATATACTTTGGAGTTCCAACAAATATAAATATTCTGTGGAGTTCCAACAAATATAAATGTACTTTGGAGTTCCAACAAATATAAATATACTTTGGAGTTCCAACAAATATAAATATACTTTGGAGTTCCAACACTTCAATATGAAACTTTAATGAATGATTTCTATGGAGTTT